CATAACACAAATCTTTTTAAACAACAGTGACGTAAAAGAGTTGACTCTATTTAATGTAATCTTTATTTATTTTGGGTTGTTGCAAGATATACGTTGCAATATTTTATTTCCATTGTTACTTACAAGCAAACGCAGTGTAAGACAACCGCCCTACCACTAGATGGAGCGACGACTTCAAATGCAATGTAAGAAATCAGTGGACGCAGATGGCTCGGGACTGTTTCTTATGGCAGTACATCAGGAGACCTATTTTCAGCAGTGAACAGTAACCACTGATATGATGATGTGGACGATGATCATTATGTTAAATTGATTACATCTCCTTGCCTCTTTTAACTAAGCGAAGTTGATAGAGACAAAAAGGAAGCGATAACGGAAGCCTCAACTCGTATAAATGCATCGTACGGCGCCATTCGCTCACTCCCTTAACTTTTATTGTCATTCCATTAATTTTATTCGCGCTCCGTCTGCGTCGCACACAGCACCGATTTCGCTTAATGAATGATAACCAGACGCCAAGATCATACACCTCAAGATGGGGCAACCGATGTGAATAAGTAGGCCATCAAATGTCAATTTTGGCTGACTCATCATCATATTAGCTTTAACCGTCCATTGCTGAACAGAAATCTATCTTTTGTAGGTTTTTTAAATTGTTACCACGCTTGGCAGGTGGTTTGGCAACCGCAGTTAGACTTTGGATATGTTTTAAGAGAGACACTACTCCTCATCTCTCGCCTTCCCTTAGTCGCCTCTTACGACACCCACAGGAAACCCACAAGGGTGGCCTATTCTATGCCAGGACTACACGGCCAGTCAGGCTGACTCATATATTTACTGAAACAAATGAAATGGGTTGTCAGATAGTTTGCTATTTTAAATTGCATAAAAACAACTCCATCTATATGTTTTTGATCCAAGCCAGACGCCAATGATCGTATAGAGAGCTTCATTGAAGTGCGCAGTCGTGATCATTGACCTAATGGGACAGACGGCGACAATTTGCAACACGATGCCATAAGTTAGCACTGTAAATTGATTTCCTTATGAGACAAAGTGTTTGTTTAAATTTATATAAAATAAGTGACTTCGTGTGGATTGCAACCCATACTACTTTATATACAAGTTTGCATATATATATATATATATATATGCAAACTTCTTTAAAATACGTTAATTTAAACGATATATTATATATATTTAAACGACATACATATTTATATTTTAATGTAATAACGACCGGATTAATCTGATCCTTTTCAAATAAGTTAAAAGTTAAAACAGTCAACGTCTGCCAAACCATGGCTAAAATAAATAGGCATAGTACGAAATGGTGACTTGAAAGCCTACATCTTGTTTCAGTAGAATATTTAATAGACCAACTTTTGAATATTCAAAATAGGAACTTTAATATCTTCAAAGAGATTGTTCATAAACTCGACAGAGTGGAGATAAGTTTCGTCTAGACGCAGCCGTATTGCTTAGTATGAAAATGTTTTATTTATAAATAGTTATTTGCCGTGGTTTTGCTCGTCCTGAACTTTCATACACTGTTATTATATTTAAGCTTATTGTCCAGGAGGAATGGAAAGGAGGGGGGGGGCTCTTTCTAAAAGGCACATTAAGTATTCTCTGACATGTATTTGCGCATTATTTAAATGCTGTAATCACATCCTGGGGTGGGCATGGACCAAATACGCCTGTGCTTATACAAATAGGTGTATATTAATTGTCAAATTTGGTTGAGGGAGGCTTAAACAAAACATTATTGTACTGTATAAATTAATGTAACCATGTTAATTCTCTGTAATGTGTATCTATTGAAATAAAATAAAATAAAAACTTCAAATCCATACTTTCCCACAAGTTCTACTCACTCTTGCCTCCATATTTATTTTGGTGTAATATCCCCTAACAAACCGTATAACAAAGTCTGACTAACTGATGTTTACTTCTGTGATGTGTCCTTCGAGGGTATTAAATGGCTTATAGGCTCCTTGCTGCTGACCGAGTGACCCGTATACGAGATCGTTTGTGCAGTACCAATAAAATAGGGGACGAGGACACCAGCACGGGGGTTGGGCCTTGGAGCTGTACTGCTCGTAAACCTGTGATGACGATCATTCATTACCCATACTGATGAGTTACGTGAATATTTTGAAGGAATAATTAAATCAATAATGTCATGCTTTGAAAATGATGAGTCCAAGGATGTATTGATCGCATTTTGTTCAAACGATTCTATTTGTTGTCTGTCTGTGAAATAGTTTAAGATTGTGACCACAAAAAACCGACTTCCATTGTAATAAAACAAGTTATTTTCATTTTTTAACAAACTATCAAATTAATGAGACTAAGTACTGTAAGTATATCCTTTTAGATGAAAAAAGATTTTTTCTAAGTCGGTTAACAGATGACGGAGTTATGAGGTAACAAACATACTATATGGTATAATTTTCTGGGGCAATTCTACTGACCGAAACCTTGCTTTTAAAGCTCAAAAGAGATGTCTGAGGGCAGCTTGCAATATTAAATCGGTAGACAGCTGTAAGCCACTATTAAAAAAACACAACATATTGACATTACATGCGTTATATATTCTTGAGCTGGCGTTATTTGTTAAAAATAATTTAAATAAATATAACAAATTAAAAAATAATAGACAACACCACAAAATTATTTCAAAACAACATAGAACGACATTATTTACTAAAAGTGTCTGACGGATGGCACCTAGAATATATAATAAACTACCTAAATCCCTCACAGACATAGATGACATAAAAAAATATAAAATTAAACTGTATGAATACCTAGTAAACAGAACATACTATTCAATTGACGATTTCCTTGAAGATAAATGTAATAAATTTCAATAATTATATTTTTTTACTATAAATGTGACATTGCTGATTTTTCTTTTTATATAATATAACTTTTTTCTTATATAATTGTAAATTTGTATAGCTCGATGGATGGGGTTGATCATAGAGGACTTATATTGTTTTACCATCCATTGTTACCTATGTATCACAAAATAAATAAATAAATATAAAAAAATACAACCGAATAATCTCTTTCTTTTTGAAGTCGATTGAAAACACCGGTGGTGCATTTGAAACATCTTATCAATGTTTTGTAGATACATTAGATTAACTTATAAGTACTAGAATTCAGAACGGAACTTGAAACACAGAATCCTGTATCTGTAAGTAAACTATACCGCAAAGACTTTATATGCATTAGTATACTCATTTATGTGTTTTTTTTTTATACAACTTAGAATGGCAAACAAGCTGACGGCTCACCTAATGGAAAGTGGTAACCGTCGCTTATAGACATGAGCAGTACCATGGATATAACACAGTATACTGTTTCGCCCATGATACCCCCCATGCGTTACCATTCCTGAGGACTCAGATGTTATTCTTCTGTACCCTGTAAATTCACGACATATCCTACCCTTCAAACCGAAACACAGCCATATAAACACAACTGCTTGACGGTAGAAACATGATTTGAATAGAGGTACTCAAGCAATCGACTTTTGTACAGTCTCCCTCTGTCCATTGTACTGTTCATGTCTATAAGTGACGGTTATCACTTACCGTCAAGCCAAGAGCCCTCAGCTTGTTAACAATTTAAAGTTACATTAAAAAAGAACAGGCATTTGTGCAAAAAACGACGACTTCAATGGACAAGCTTAATATGAGACTACCACGAAAGTAGACTTTCAGTTCTAAAAGGAATTGCCAAAAGCGGTTCGAAATTAGCGAATATATCCTATTACTTACACGCAAAAATGCCTTAACCTTCAGAAAACTGCTTAAAAAATTAACATAATTATGTATGAACTTATGAACCAGAGAGAAACTTTGTACAAAAGTCGTTTGCTTGGGTACCTCTATCCCATTCGTGCTTCAACCGTATAGCAGTTGTGTTTGCATGGCTGTGTTTCGGTTTGAAGGGTGGGATATGGCGTGAATTTACAGGGTACAGAGGAATAACATTTGAGTCCTCAGGAATGACAACGCATGGGGGGTATCATGGGCGTAACAGTATACTCTGTTATGTCCATGGTACTGCTCATGTCTATAGGCGACGGTTACCACTTTCCATCAGGTGGACCGTCAGCTTGTTTGCCATTCTAAGTTGTATAAAAAAAAAGTTTCTCTAGTTCTTTTGTTTGAACATTGTCACAATATTGTACGAGTACACCGCTCTACCCGCTGACATTGATCCTTCTTTCCATTTTGGGTGTTGGTGGAAGAGAACTCTTTTAGATTTAAGCTCGCCTTTGTACATTTAATTACCTCTGCCATATTTTTATGTGTATAACAAAGTGTTAAATAAATAAATAAATACTAACCACATTTCTTTATGTATAACAATTTCATTTTCTTTAATAATGTAGACATCATATTAGCATTCCAAAACTCATTTAGATTACTTACCTTGTGCCTACTTGTTCCTTAGATAAACCAACAGTTAGTAAACCGGGCAAATATTAACTCTCTCGCTACTAACTCCTTTATTATAAAGGGTAGACGGTATTGTTTGTGTTGTGTTGTGTATTTTCAAACATTACACATATGGGACATATGAATTATATGTTATTTTAACATACTATATTTTACTGGTTGACATTTAATTAAAAACTTATGACAACAAATGATAAATTGCATTTTCATGTTGGCATTACATTATAGGCTTTTTAAGCGACTTTAGAATAAAGTAATTTAAAACATACATGGTTAAAATAGAAATGTTTAGAAATTTTCCAAAGCTCTTAAACCGTTATAAAATTCACAGAAAAGTATGTAATTGGATTATGACATACCATCATACTATATCTATAATAATACATAAAATTCTCGTGTCACAGTGTTTGTTACCAAACTCCTCCGAAACGGCTTTACCGATTTTCATAAAATTTTGTGTGCATTTTTTTTTTATTTTTTTGACAAATTTTTTTATTTTTATTTTATAATTTAGCATTGAAAAATACATACAACTTTAAATTTTCATCGTATTACGATCAACCCCTGTATTTTAATCGCGATTTTTATATTTTGCAATAAGTGGTAAAACAACGTTTACGGGGTCAGCTAGTATATTCTACTAATTTTGAGGTAGAGCAAGTTTCAATCAATCAATCATTCAATCATCTTTATTCATATACATCTGTTACAGATTCTTATGATACGTCAATCTATAATTATAATATATACTATATAAAATAATATTGATTTAAAAAAAATTACAATAATTACATTTACAATACAATTCACATTAATACAAAATTCAAATCCATGCAGTTTTGTCATTCAAATAGTCATTTAATTTATAATATGCTTTTGTACAGAGAGTCCTTTTTATATATATGTTTTAAATTTTCTTTCATTTAAATGTAAAACGTCATCTGGAAGTTTATTATAAAAACGTATACAGTTCCCCATGAAAGATGTACTGACTTTTCTAAGACAATAAGGAACGTTTGTGATGTTTAGCTTCCTCTTCAAAATTTGATGTATTTTGGATGAAAAGATGTGGCGTAGTTTTCCGAACGCTGCCCAGTTGGAATCGTCGGTTGAAATTGGACTTATCTATTCGGACAACTTGTCCCAGGTACACATACTCATCGACAACTTCTAGCGTAGTGTTCGCAATTGTAACCGGTAGATGTGACATGGACGTTAGACATGATTCTAGTCTTGTCCATGTTCTTCTGAAGACCTACCAGTTGAGAAAAACCATTGAGGTCTTTGAGCATAATATACAAATCCTCCAGGGATTTCGCCATATTGTTTATACCATATCCTTTCCAGTTCAAGAGATTAGTAACATTTTTAAGTAATGAACAAACAACATTCCACATTTATAATATGTATTTGTCAGTATTGCGTTCATTTGGCTGATCGGGCTTCAGTTAAAACTTGGTACATAGTTAGAACTAGATACAAGATGGATACTTTTATTTTATCCTAATTTACGGACAGCCGTAGAATATATTTATATCTATAAATAATATACTCGAAGAACCGACAACCGATGGGGAAAAAGGTTCTTCAGTGGCGACCACGTACGGGTAAACGCAGTGTAGGATGACCCCCCAGTAAATGGAGTGACGACCTTAAATGCGTTGCAAGGAGTCAGTGGATGCAGGTGGCTCAGGACCGTTCTTTATGGCAGTCTATGGGGGAGGCTTATGTCCAGCAGTGGACAGATAATGGCTGAAATGATGGTGATAAATACTATAGCGGTTTAGCGGCTTGTTAGGTACAATGTTTCCGTTAGACGCGTTGTAAATACGAGTCGCACAGACTTTGTAATGCCACTCCGCGATACTGTATCGCGATCACGTACATGCACGTACTCGGGTCTCGGTGACACAATTTATTTATATACCCTAGCCAGCTGTGCCCGTGACTTCGTTCGCGTGTACTATTAAAAAGGCTTTAATACTATTTGTAGAACAATATTGTTTCCAATCTTTTACGCCAAGGGGAGGAAGAGATTGTTGGTAATGGGAACTATCAGGTGGGCCGTCAGCTTGTTTGGCATTCTAAGTTGTATAAAAAAAATCCCCCTGGAAACTATCGTATGAATTCCAGGTGTATGACCTACCTTTTCATCCTCACCTATTATCCATCACTGGTACCTCGCCAACGTATATCGTTAGCGCAGGTGGGACTACCATTCCATCATCATCCATTACAAAAAAAAACCTTTTACGCCATTTAATGTGTAGTATAGTACTTTTCAATTGTCAATATTTGGAAGTAATTTTTTTATCTTTATATAGTTTGACCTATAAAAAGCTTAATATTCTCTGAAAATATTATCACAACCTAATCAGCTGTTTACGATAAACAAATACAAAAGCACATAAACACAGAAACTGAGAAAATTATTATTATTGAGAAATTTACCAGAGGGAGACTTTGTACAAAAGTCGTTTACTTGGTTACCTCTGTCCCATTCGTGTTTCAACCGTAAAGCAGTTGTGTTTGCATGGCTGTGTTTCCGTTTGAAGGGTGGGATATGGCGTAAATTTACAGGGTACAGAGGAATAACACCCGAGTCCTCAGGAATGGCAACGCATGGGGGGTATTATGGGCGAAACAGTATACTCTGTTATGTCCATGGTACTGCTCATGTCTATAGGCGACGGTTACCACTTTCCATCAGGTGGGCCGTCAGCTTGTTTGCCATTCTACGTTGTATAAAAAAAATTCAATAATACAATTTAGCGTTACACCTTGGACTTACTTAGATAAATAAGTATAAACATAAATTTGATAAAACAAAGCGCATGTTACAGTTTCACTGATAATGAAGCTTCTGTAGTGAAAGGATATTTATAATCGGGTAAGCATTTCTTGAATTCATCCACTACCAACACCAAACAAAAACAAATCTTTATAATATTACATTATATGTATATGTGTGTATGTATAGGTATATGCATAGATATAGGTATATATTTACGTCTATGTATATGTGTATTTATACGATTAAATATAACGTAATTAATTATGTATAAATTTAAGTTTGTCTAGTTATTTTGTTTGAAAATTTTCTGAATATTGTACACCGCTCTGCCCGCTGACATTGATGCTCCTTTCCACTTTGGACGTTGCTGGACGAGAACTCTATTAGAGTTAAGCTTGCCTTTATACATTTGATTATCTCTTTCATATTTTTATTTATAATCAGTGTACACAATAAAGTATTAAAAATACATATTATATATATATATATATATATATATTAGATTACTTTAAAATATAACTACTAATGACTCGTTCTACGTCATTAAAAATTTACAATGTTGACTTCATTATGACTTTATTACATGTAAACAAGAAGTGAAGAAAGAGCCAAATATTTGTTTTTGCGAATAAAATGCAGGTCACGTATGCGAAACAGTTTGTGTCGAGTGTAAAACTGGATTCGCACGGCTCCATTCATGTCGTGTACAATCTGTTAAGCTTTAATGCTAGCAATAAAATAAAAACAGATGGAAGTGGGCTTAACGACAAATTTATACGCGCGGTCGAGTCAGACCTAGTGTTTTTTTTTTTTATAGGTGATAATGAAATATTAATCCCATCCGCGCTGTCGGTATACGCTGATACCAGTGAAGAATGATAGATGAGGATGAAACACGTCAGTTAGTCCATCGTGACGAATTCAACGAGAATTGTTCACGATGGTTTCCAGGGGGAACCACGCGGAGGTTGACCTGATAGGGCATATTGCTAGCAATGGAGCTATCAAACTCCATTGCTAACAATCCCTTCCTCCCCAGACCTAGTGTTGGACGCACAATAACTATGTTGACAGCAGGGATACAAGGTCCTAGTATTCATGACGCTAAGTAAATATAGATAAGAAGTAATTTATCTGTTTTAATATTTAATAATATTTAATTATGTAATAAACAAATTCAAAAAATACTTATATAGTGACAAAAAATATTCGGATTTAAAAACGTAAACTAATAAATGGATATTGATAATTTTTTTTTATGCAACTTGTAATGGCAAACGAGCTGACGGCCCACCTGATGGAAAGTGGTAACCGTCGCCTATATAGACATGAGCAGTACCATGGACATAACAGAGTGTACTGTTTCGCCCATGATACCCCCATGTGTTGCCATTCCTGAGGACTTAGATGTTATTCCTCTGTACGCTGTAAATTCACGCCATATCCCACCCTTCAAACCGAAACACACCCATGCAAACACAACTGCTTTACAGTTGAAACGCGAATAGGACAGAGGTACTCAAGCAATCGACTTTTGTAACAAGTCTCACATGTAATAACCTATTATTAAATTCCAGCAAAACAAAGTGTATAAAATTTACACTTCCTAATGTAAGACTAATAAATACACAGTTATTGCTTAATGACGAAATAGTAAATTTTGTTAATGATACAGTTTTTTTAGGTATAACAGTGGACTCGAAATTACAATGGGGGCCCCATATTTCAAAATTGGCCAGTAGACTCAGTTCTGCTGCATATGCAATTAGAAGAATTAGGCAATTAACAGACGTGGCGACGGCTAAACTTGTATATTTTAGTTATTTCCATAGCATAATGTCTTATGGCATACTGCTGTGGGGTAAAGCAGCCGATATAAATACTATATTTGTTTTACAAAAGAGAGCCATACGTTCTATTTATGGTATGGGTTCAAGAGAGTCATTACGTCAGTGCTTTAAAGACTCAAATATCCTCACAGTTACTTCACAATACATTTATGAAAATATTATGTATACACGGAAGAACTTAGCGAGTTTTAAAAAACTCAAAGACTGTACAAGTAGAAACTTACGCAATATAAATAAGCTTATTTTACCTAAATGCCGTCTGCACAAAATCAGTAATTCATTCTATGGTAATTGCATAAGATTTTATAATAAACTGCCGGAATCTGCATTAAATCTGACAGAGAGGCAATTCAAATCTTATATTAAACAATTTTTATGTAAGAAAGCCTATTACAGGATAGACGAATTCATAGATGACAACATATCAAGTAAATAATTAGTTTATTAGCATACAACGTTATAATTTTATTTTCTCATTGCTTTCTTGATTTAATTGATTAATTTTAGAAATATGAAAGCGTAGCGGTTTTTTGTATTAATTGCCGCATGCATTCTTATGTAAAATGTGAATACTATAACTATCAGATGGCAATTGTGAGTAGCTTTGACGTGGTCTAGTGTTTTGAGTAGTCATGCTCACTAAAATGTCCAGACTTGTGGCGGCGTGGTGGGCCGGGTCATTGGGCTCCCTAAAATATGGTCGAGCGCAGTGATGGCTGGCTCATCCGTCATACTCGTGAACGGGTGCTGCTTGTAGGGACTGGTCTGCTCTAATCACTATGACTGATTTCCTCTTATTAATTGTTTAACCAGTTGGTTATGTATTCAATTTTTTTTTCTTTTTGAGTATTTAATTGAATTAGTGCTAATTGGTGGTTTGTATTCACACAATTAAACTTAAAAATGTAAAATAATAATAAAATTATTTAAAAGAGCATCACGCAAGTTTCTTGCTCGTTCTTCTTGTGATGAGACAGCTTTCCGAACGAGCGGTAAATTAAAAAAAATGTAATGACTTTTCAAAAGTGCTTCAATGTAAGTTTATTTGAATAAATGATTTCTATTCTATTCTATTCTATTCTATTCTATTCTCCCTCTGTATTTGTTAGTAGTTCGACAGGGTTTATTTCTGTATTTTTTTTTTAATTAATATAAACATTTTTATTAGTATTTTTTTTATGAATCTACCCAATCCCAATTTGGAATTCAATTTCAGCTGAGGAGTATGGACGAGACAGCTGTAGCTTTTTTTTTATACAACTTAGAATGGCAAACAAGTCGACGGCCCACCTGATGGAAGGTGGTAACCGTCGCCTATAGGCATCCCCTTTATTCAAATGATAATTGGGCTTACAATATTTAATATCATGAAACTACAATCAATCATAGTATTATTGAACAGAGTAGTCCGAATTTCTCAGTAAGGCGACGACTTCAACAGCACTAATCACAGACGTGAGAACATATTTGGAGCAGTGTACACTGTACAGTTTGCCGCCCATGAATTATTCAATACTATTTCCACTCAGGATGTTATTAGTTGTTATTTTCATAGAGAAACTAATTCTCTGCACGATTCGCATTCCGATAAATAATGTAGCTAAGTATTTATTTGTATACCGGATACGTGACGCGGTAGTGTTGCTGCTAATACCGAGAATTGTCTGTTTATTTGTTGTATTCTAAACTATGTATATTAGATATGTGTTCACACCTTAATTCGAAAAACTACGCCACATTTTTTCATCGACTAGAGGGAGACTTTGTACAAAAGTCGATTGCTTGGGTACCTCTGTCCCATTCGTGTTTCTACCGTGAAGCAGTTGTGTTTGCATGGCTGTGTTTTTTTTTGATGGGTGATAATGGTATGGTAACCCCGCCTGCGCTAACGGGATACGCTGGCGGAGCACCTGTAAAGAGTGATCGATGAGAATGAAAACAGGCCAGTTAGCCCATCATGATGAATTCATCAGGAATTAACCATGATAATTTCCAGGGGGAACCACGAGGAGGTCGACCTGATTGGGTATATTGCTAGTAATGGGATTTTTAGTCTCCATTACTAATAATCCCTTTCCCCCCACTCCATGGAGAGGGCTATGCTCGGAGTCTCTTTGCGTAATAGAATCCGAAACAAGGATATTGCAAAAGAACCAAAGTAACCGACATAGCCCGAAGGATAAGCAAGCTGAAGTGGCAATGGGCTAGTTACATAACTCGAAGAACCGACAACCGATAGGGAAAGAAGTTTCTTGAGTGGTGATCCTGTATCGGCAATCCTGTATGTTTCTACCGTGAAGCAGTTGTTTTCATGGCTGTGTTTCGATTTGAAAGGTTGGAAATGGCAGTGAATTTACTGGGTACAGAGGAATAACACTTGAGTCTTCAGGAATGGCAACGCATGGGGGTATCATGGGCGAAACAGTAGATTCTGTTATGTCCATGGTACTGCTCGTGTCTATAGGCGACGGTTACCACATTCCATCAGGTGGGCCGTCAGCTTGTTTACCATTCTAAGTAGTATAAAAAAAAATGCAATGTAGGACGACCACCCCACTAGATAGAGTGACCACTGTTTCCCTGCATTGCAGGAAGTCAGTGGATGCATAACCGTTCCTTATGGCAGTTTATGGGGAGGCCTATGTCCAGCAGTGGACGGATAATGATGATGATTATAATGATACATATTAATGGAATACTGCTTCATTAGACACGAATATAGTGCTGTTTATAACAATAGGTGGTGGTTATTTTTATTTTTTAAACTTAAATTCATTTTTATTCAATGTATATGTATATACATATGGGAAATTAATGAACTCACTGTGTTGTTGCCGTTTTCGGCAATTTTTATTTCACCCTTCCAAGTCTTCTTCGGGAGGCATTTAGCGGTTTGCGTTACAGCGTCTCGTCTCACACTGGAAGCCGCAGCTCGCATAGGTGACGGTTACGGGCCCCTCTGAAATCATACCTATAGCAGAGCATATCTTGTACTTTGGTAGATCATGAGCTCGGCGTTCGCTGGTGAAGCCGTAACGGCTGGTTATTGATGGTCAAAACCTCCAGTTACGATTATAGTAAGTCGATTCAGCGGACCCTGGACTCCGGAGCTATGAGGTTTCGGATGCGACCGGGATAAACCGCTAGGATGATGATGATGACGATTATAATAAGTCGATGCAATCCACACTTAGTATAGTAGAAAGTAATACAAAAATAGTTAATGGGCCCCACGTTTTTATTTTTATTAAACGGTTTTATTTAGCTCGACCCGTACGGTATTTATTTATTTGGGTCAAAATTAGAAATTGGAATTTAAGCACCTTCCCGTTGTCAGATTGATCTGAAATTTGGTACACACATTTAATTTAGATGACAATAGAATATAATAAAATCAATAACATTATAAATCTAAGATGGCCGCCGATACAAAATGGCGGATTACATATTTTTCCTTAACCCCCGCAATATGGGTATTAAATGAAAGGGCTACACTAGTAAAACACGATGATTATGTCAAAATTTAAAATTCAAGATGGACGCCGTTCCAATATGGCGGACTAGGTACATATTTTTCCACAACCACCACAATATGGGTATCAAATAATAGGACTACACTGAGACACCCAGACACTAGACACTCGGACACTAGACACTCAGACGCTAGACCCTCAGACACTAGACACTCAGACACTCAGACCCTAGACACACAGACACTAGACACTCGGATACAAGACACTCAGACACTAGACACTCGGACACTAGACACTCAGACACTAGACACTCGACACTCGACACTCAGACACTAAACACCAGACACAAGACACTCAGACACTCGACACTCAGACACTAGACACTAGACACTCGTCACTAGACACTCGACACTCGACACTCGACACTCGACACTCGACACTCGACACTCGACACTCGACACTCGACACTCGACACTCGACACTCAGACACTAAACACTAGACACTAGACACTAGACACTCAGACACTCGACACTCAGACACTCAGACACTCGACACTCAGACACTAGACACTCGACACTCGACACTCGACACTCAGATACTAAACACTAGACACTAGACACTCAGATATCCAGACACTAGACACTCAGACACTGGACACTCGGATACAAGACACTCAGACACTAGACTCTCAGACACTTGACACTCAGACACCCAGACGTTAGACACTCAGACACTAGACACTCGACACTCGACACTCAGACACTAAACACCAGACACTAGACACTCAGACACTCGACACTCGACGTCACTCGACACTCGACACTCGACACTCGACACTTGACACTCGACACTCAGACACTAAACACTAGACACTAGACACTAGACACTCAGACACTCGACACTCAGACACTAGACACTTGAGACTCGACACTCGACACTCAAATACTAAACACTAGACACTAGACACTCCGACACTCGGATATAAGACACTCAGACACTAGACTCTCAGACACTTGACACTCAGGCACCCAGACACTAGACACTCAGACACTAGACACTCGAAACTCGACACTCGACACTTGACACTCGACACTCGACACTAGACACTCAGACGCTAGACCCTCAGACACTAGACACTCAGACACTCAGACCCTAGACACACAGACACTAGACACTCGGATACAAGACACTCAGACACTAGACACGCGGACACTAGACACTCAGACACTAGACACTCGACACTCGACACTTGACACTCGACACTCGACACTCAACACTCGACACTCGACACTCGACACTCGACACTCAGACACTAAACACTAAACACTAGACACTAGACACTCAGAGACTCGACACTCAGACACTAGACACTCGACACTCGACACTCGACACTCAGATACTAAACACTAGACACTAGACACTCAGACATCCAGACACTAGACACTCAGACACTGGACACTCGGATACAAGACACTCAGACACTAGACTCTCAGACACTTGACACTCAGACACCCAGACACTAGACACTCTGACACTAGACACTCGACACTCGATACTCGACACTCGACACTCGACACTTGACATTCGACACTCGACGTCACTCGACACTCGACACTCGACACTCGACACTCGACACTCGACACCCGACACTCGACTCTCGACACTCGACACTCGATAATCAGACACTAAACAGTAGACACTAGACACTCAGACACTCGACACTCAGACACTAGACACTCGACACTCGACACTCAGACACTAGACACTCCGACACTCGGATATAAGACACTCAGACACTAGACTCTCAGACACTTGACACTCAGACACCCAGACACTAGACACTCAGACACTAGACACTCGAAACTCGACACTCGACACTTGACACTCGACACTCGACACTCGACACTCGACACTCGACACTCGACACTTAGACACTAGACACTCAGACACCCAGACACTAGACACTCAGACACTAGACCCTCGGATACAAGACACTCAGACACTAGACTCTCAGACACTTGACACTCAGACACCCAGACACTAGACACTCTGACACTAGACACTCGACACTCGATACTCGACACTCGACACTCGACACTTGACACTCGACACTCGACACTCGACACTCGACACTCGACACTCGACACTCGACACTCAGACACTCAGACACTAGACACTCAGACACTCAGACACTCAGACACTCAGACACTCAGACACTCAGACACTCAGACACTAGACACTCAGACACTAGACACTCAGACACTAGACACTCAGACACTAGACACTCAGACACTAGACACTCAGACACTAGACACTCAGACACTAGACACTAGACACTCGACACTCGACACTCGACAGTCGACACTCGTCACTCGACACTCGTCACTCGACACTCAGACACTAAACACTAGACACTAGACACTCAGACACTCGACACTCAGACACTAGACACTCGACACTCGACACTCGACACTCAGATACTAAACACTAGACACTCAGACACTGGACACTCGGATACAAGACACTCAGACACTAGACTCTCAGACACTTGACACTCAGACACCTTTTTGGCCTCAGTTCCGTCGAACCCAAATGTACGAAACAGATATATCATCAGTTTTAATTGACTTTGGCACAGACGACATACACGTTATTTACCCTAAAGCCATACAGTTTCCAGCAAAATTCAATTATGGTACGGCTGAAAAAAGGATGTTGCCCTTAGTTTTGTCATGAGCATTCACCGTCCATAAAATGCAGGGCAGCACCGTCGACCATGCAGTAGTATATTTGGGCTCAAAATGGTTTGAGGAAGGACAAGCATACGTGGCTCTAAGTCGAGTCAAGTCTCTGGAAGGGCTATGTATTGAGGAATTAGATTGTACTAAATTATCAGGTAAGAAACCATGTAATAATGATGCACTGAATGAATTAAATAAAATGAGGAATATTCGGTAAACAATTTCACTAAATACTAAAAACAAGAAAATAAAAATCGGTAAAAAAACTTTTAAGTTAAACGGTTTTATTTTATGTGCACTGAAAAGTACAAAATAAATAAATAGTTACTTACCTATCAACCTACGTAGGTGATCTCGGTCATTAATATCTCTGATGGTAGTGGTTGTCATAACATGAACCATGTCAGCGGCCGAAAGGCAGTTCATGAGAGAACACTAACACCAGGGTTTGCTTGGTAGGTAAACTAAGCAGCCCGCACTATAACAAGTAGGTATTTTGACCTTCTAGTTCAGAAATATTTTAGTACTAGGCAGAATAGCTTTTAGGCATATTAGACTAAAATAAAAACGTGGGGCCCCTCTGAAATCATACCTATAGCAGAGCATATCTTATACTTTGGTAGATCATGAGCTCGGCGTTCGCTGGTGAAGCCGTAACGGCTGGTTATTGATGGTCAAAACCTCCAGTTACGATTATAGTAAGTCGATTCAGCGGACCCTGGACTCCGGAGCTATGAGGTTTCGGATGCGACCGGGATAAATCGCTAGGATGATGATGATGACGATTATAATAAGTCGATGCAATCCACACTTAGTATAGTAGAAAGTAATACAGAAATAGTTAATGGGCCCCACGTTTTTATTTTAGTCTAATATGCCTAAAAGCTATTCTGCCTAGTACTAAAATATTTCTGAACTAGAAGGTCAAAATACCTACTTGTTATAGTGCGGGCTGCTTAGTTTACCTACCAAGCAAACCCTGGTGTTAGTGTTCTCTCATGAACTGCCTTTCGGCCGCTGACATGGTTCATGTTATGACAACCACTACCATCAGAGATATTAATGACCGAGATCACCTACGTAGGTTGATAGGTAAGTAACTATTTATTTATTTTGTACTTTTCAGTGCACATAAAACCGTTTAACTTAAAAGTTTTTTTACCGATTTTTATAGTCTAATATGCCTTAAAGCTATTCTGCCTAGTACTAAAATATTTCTGAACTAGAAGGTCAAAATACCTACTTGTTATAGTGTGGGCTGCTTAGTTTACCTACCAAGCAAACCCTGGTGTTAGTGTTCTCTCATGAACTGCCTTTCGGCCGCTGACATGGTTCATGTTATGACAACCACTACCATCAGAGATATTAATGACCGAGATCACCTACGTAGGTTGATAGGTAAGTAACTATTTATTTATTTTGTAGTTTTCAGTGCAAATAAAATAAAACCGTTTAACTTAAAAGTTTTTTTACCGATTTTTATATACTGTGAAGACCCGTATCATTACATTCCTTTTGTCGGTAATCGAGTAAAAAACAAATTCCAGACTCGCCCATAATTTGTGTTCAACATAGAATGCCTGTGACGTGTGAATCTGGACAGGAACATCTGAAAGCACAATCCAGAACATCTAACAATTTTTATCGCTGTTGCTTTTATACGTCGGAAACTGAGAAGATAGATAGTATATTGTTTTTAGGGTTCCGTAACGCCATGATTAAAACGCTTATAATATTATCATGTCTACCTCTTTGTCCGATCCTCTGTTTATTGTATTTATTCATAATAAACGACTGAGTTTTATTATTTAAATTTTAGGATAAAAAAAATACATACATACATATCTGTCACACCTGTCTCCCATTAGGGTAGGCAGAGACAATGGAACGCCAAATGCTTCGATTCAAACAAACCTCTTTCGCTTCTTCCATTCATCAATCTTTTCATACACGCTCACCGGTTACGGGTACTTTTAATTTGGCCCTTCTTCAGCACGTCGCCTATTTGGTAACAATATAATCGTAGAGGTATAATTTTTTTTTTCATTTATTTACCAAATTACTACCGTAATCTATAGACTAAAATGCATGTATGTCCATTTAAATGTTAACTCATATACCCTGTAATATTAACTGATAATTAAAACAGAAGCATGATTTACCCGATAGGTGGTAGTAGGATCGTCTCCTACTAATCGAATTCAAAATGTGGTGCCGCAATGTGAGCACGTTACGTTCACCGCAATGGCAATAGTTGACAAATCCTTCGGAGTACTTCTTATCTTTCATTTTTTGAGATGGAACATTCATCATCATCATCATATCAGCCATTATTTGCCCACTGTTGAATCTAGAGCTCCCCCATTAGGGATATTTTGACAGTAGTTGCTACACTAGACTGGCGGATTGGCAACCGCAGTTAAGCTTTGGTGTTGTTTTAAAGAGGGACGCTGTTGCCGATTCCTCGACCATTAAGTTCCCTTAGTCGCCTCTTACTATATATAATATATTTATATTATATATAATAAGAAGGAAAAGAAGGGGTGGCCTATTCTATATTGGAACCATCACTGAACATAGACATTCTTATATATTAACTCATAGACGTTTCTTTCAGAATCTTTTGTTACGTCTCATTGAGTGATTCACCGATGAGTTTTTTTTATTTTATTTATTAAGATATTAAAACCCTGTCACAGCATATAAAAAAGCTCATTAATTGACGAATTGTCTAAGAATTAATAATCAGTAATAAATAGCATTTTTATTTTATATAAAGTAGCTTCGTGTAATTTTTTTTTATACAGCTTAGAATGGCAAACAAGCTGACGGCCCACCTGATGGAAAGTAATAACCGTCGCCTATAGACATGAGCAGTACCATGGACATAACAGAGTATACTGTTTCGCCCATGATACCCCCCATGCATTGCCAATCCTGAGGACTTAGATGTTATTCCTCTGTACCCTGTAAATTCACGCCATATCCCACCTTTCATACTGAAACACAGCCATGCAAACACCACTGCTTCACACGGTAGAAACACGAATGGGACATAGGTATCCTTAGGTATACTACATTGCGGAATTAAGAGGTACGAAACCCTGTTACAGCTTGTCCGATTCGCCCTTGTCCAGATTTATTTGGATTCTAATGTACGTAGGTGTGCTGGATTATTTCAGTTACCTGTTTTATTTACATTTTTTAAATAAATCTTTGGAAGTGTTTGCAAATACACTCACCGGCTGTTTATTATCAGTTACGAATATAAATGTAGCGTATTATTTTAATGGCTCCCAGTGGTTAATACCTAAGTAGAGGGCACGATGAGACACGACGCAGCAACCGAGATCCCGCACATTATATTTTTGGAGTCATTTCGTATTCCTTTTAAACTTATCGAAATTACGATCATGATGAGAAAAAACTGCTTAAATAAAAAAGAATCATTAAAATTGACTTATGAACGACAAAATGCAGTGTTATTGATAGCCGTTTAATAGTATTTATTATAAGTAGCAATCAATTTCATATTACGAGTATATTTATTCATTTATTTTTATATCACTGAGGTGGCAAACAAGCATACGGTCTACCTGACTGTAAGCGGTTATCGTAGCCTATAAAGTCGACAAAATTTCATTAAAATCTGTTGAGCAATTTCCGAGATTAGCGTAACCGAACATCATGCTGAGATTTTTATAATAAAATATCAAATGACTGATATTTATTATCTACCTAAAATATTCAAAATTGACACCATAATCATTACATAAAACTATAATTTATTTATTCCCATGAAAAACCAAAACATGCAGCCACGCAGGCAGTCTGACCCTATTAGCACGGAGTTTCAAACAAGATACGAAGTGGCTATCTATGGTTGGATGCCTGACAGGCTCCGCATCCTGAGACCAACAACCGGTCGCCGGTAACCTCCAGGAACTGATGTTTAGCTAACTGTATCACAGCCATCGCTGCACAGCGGGAACCGTGGAATGCACTATCGACCCTTCTTTGATTAATGAACAACTTGCTTCTTCTGATAGATTACACTTCCTTATAGAGTTGGTATTGGATAAAACAGAAGATAAGGAATGTGTGTGCTTAGTAATAATTGTCTTTTATAGGGTTTTATTATTTTCGTATTAGAGGATCACACTATATATGGTATAACTAGCCTTTAATTGTCCACCGCTGAACATAACCCTCCCTCTTGGGAGATTTTGCCAGTAGTTGCCACGTTTGGCAAGGGTTGGCAACCGCAGTTTTTAGAGATGTTTTAAAAGGTACACCGCTGCCCATCCCTCGCCCTCTATAAAAAAACATCCATACGACTATTTTTATTTTCATGTGCAATAAATAAATGCTTTTTATTATTCTCAGTTGAATTTAAATTATACCATGAATAAATATAAAAAACGTGCATAAATTCTTTATATTTTTATAAGTACGTACCTACGTATATCTATTAGGCACGTTGCATTGACGTTAATGAGATCCCTTGTTAATTAATCAAACAAAGTCTATAATTTTGTATGCAATTAAGACGAGCATAGAATACATGAATAGAGTCTCATCGACGGTTAAGCAGCTTAAATCAAGCTAGTATACGAATATAAATCGCTTCTGTAATAGTTACTTGTCGCACAATCGAACTATATAAATAAGTTTAAATATTTTCTTACCTTTTTTTTTTTAAACGGTTTTATTTAGCTCGACCCGTACGGTATTTATTTATTTGGGTCAAAATTAGAAATTGGAATTTAAGCACCTTCCCGTTGTCAGATTGATCTGAAATTTGGTACACACATTTAATTTAGATGACAATAGAATATAATAAAATCAATAACATTATAAATCTAAGATGGCCGCCGATACAAAATGGCGGATTACATATTTTTCCTTAACCCCCGCAATATGGGTATCAAATGAAAGGGCTACACTAGTAAAACACGATGATTATGTCAAAATTTAAAATTCAAGATGGACGCCGTTCCAATATGGCGGACTAGGTACATATTTTTCCACAACCACCACAATATGGGTATCAAATAATAGGACTACACTGCAGAATACTGTCATTATGTCAAAATTTCAAATTCAAGATGGACGCTGTTACAAAATGGCCTATTAGGTGGGGGCATGATTAGTCGTATCGAGAACAGTTGCGTCTAAGATTGTGTGACGTTAGAGGGGCAGATAAAAAAAAATAGGTAATTAGATACCTCGTTAGTAAGCGGTAGTTATATCACCCAAGTTAAGGTAATAGGTTAAAACGTGCCGAGGACTGTATGGCATTAGGGTGGATAAAAATGTAATGTCGTAAGCGCTTCCCCCTCAAGATTGGGCGCATCTTGTTGTATATTAAGCCTTGCCCCTTTACTGGACTGCGGGGGGGGGGTCGACCGTCAAAATGCCCCTTAATCGTGGGAACAACATGGTAACAATAAACAAAAAATACCAACAAATATAAATAAGACTGGAGGCTTACCATCAGTACTTGAAATATTTGTAGGTGCAAAAGTAATGTTGCGGTCCAACATTGACGTTACAAAAGGATTGGTAAATGACGCTATAGGCCACATTACAGAAATTTTTTGGCCTCAGTTCCGTCGAACCCGAATGTACGAAACAGATATATCATCAGTTTTAATTGACTTTGGCACAGACGGCATGCACGTTATTTACCCTAAAGCCATACAGTTTCCAGCAAAATTCAATTATGGTACGGCTGAAAAAAGGATGTTGCCCTTAGTTTTGTCATGGGCATTCACCGTCCATAAAATGCAGGGCAGCACCGTCGACCATGCAGTAGTATATTTGGGCTCAAAATGGTTTGAGGAAGGACAAGCATACGTGGCTCTAAGTCGAGTCAAGTCTCTGGAAGGGCTATGTATTAAGGAATTAGATTGTACTAAATTATCAGGTAAGAAACCATGTAATAATGATGCACTGAATGAATTAAATAGAATGAGGAATATTCGGTAAACAATTTCACTAAATACTAATAACAAGAAAATAAAAATCGGTAAAAAAACTTTTAAGTTAAACGGTTTTATTTTATGTGCACTGAAAACTACAAAATAAATAAATAGTTACTTACCTATCAACCTACGTAGGTGATCTAGGTCATTAATATCTCTGATGGTAGTGGTTGTCATAACATGAACCATGTCAGCGGCCGAAAGGCAGTTCATGAGAGAACACGAACACCAGGGTTTGCTTGGTAGGTAAACTAAGCAGCCCACACTATAACAAGTAGGTATTTTGACCTTCTAGTTCAGAAATATTTTAGTACTAGGCAGAATAGCTTTTAGGCATATTAGACTAAAATAAAAACGTGGGGCCCCTCTGAAATCATACCTATAGCAGAGCATATCTTATACTTTGGTAGATCATGAGCTCGGCGTTCGCTGGTGAAGCCGTAACGGCTGGTTATTGATGGTCAAAACCTCCAGTTACGATTATAGTAAGTCGATTCAGCGGACCCTGGACTCCGGAGCTATGAGGTTTCGGATGCGACCGGGATAAACCGCTAGGATGATGATGATGACGATTATAATAAGTCGATGCAATCCACACTTAGTATAGTAGAAAGTAATACAGAAATAGTTAATGGGCCCCACGTTTTTATTTTAGTCTAATATGCCTAAAAGCTATTCTGCCTAGTACTAAAATATTTCTGAACTAGAAGGTCAAAATACCTACTTGTTATAGTGTGGGCTGCTTAGTTTACCTACCAAGCAAACCTTGGTGTTCGTGTTCTCTCGTGAACTGCCTTTCGGCCGCTGACATGGTTCATGTTATGACAACCACTACCATCAGAGATATTAATGACCGACATCACCTACGTAGGTTGATAGGTAAGTAACTATTTATTTATTTTGTAGTTTTCAGTGCACATAAAATAAAACCGTTTAACTTAAAAGTTTTTTTACCGATTTTTATATTTAAGTATTACTTTTTTTTATACAACTTAGAATGGCAAACAAGCTGACGGCCCACCTGATGGAAAGTGGTAACCGTCCCCTATAGACATGAGCAGTACCGTGGACATAACAGAGTATACTGTTTCGCCCTTGATACCCCCCCATGCGTTGCCATTCCTAAGGACTCAGGTGTTATTCCTCTGTACCAAGTAAATTCACGCCATATCCCACCCTTCAAACCGATATAATGCTACATCAATCACAAAATATAACGCATCTATCAAAGTACGTAAAGCTCACAGTTGATTAAATCATCAAGCAAATAAACATTGTATCATGTATGCATAAACATCAATCACGCTTTATTCAAGCTAAAGTGTACGTGATAAATTCAAGCCGCTTGACCCTCCCAGTTTAGACTGTCGGTTAACGATGCCCATAAGCAATCGGCTAAGACCTGCCTCCAGGAATCCCGTCCTATGATGTATGCGGTGATAATCACGAGGTACGTTGCGCGGTGGGAACTGCGCAGAGCGATTATTCGACGCGCCACCTCCACTTGCAGCGATAATTGTCGATACCTGGAAAGATATAGATGCCAGTACGTAACGGTACTCAGTGCAATATAAAAGATCCGGATTGTTGCAAATATGGGGAGTAGAATTTGTACAAATGATGTTTACATAGGTACCTCTATTCACGCGTATTTCTGCCATCAAAATGGTTACATGGCTATGCTTTAGTTTTTTTTTTTTTGTGCTGCCTGCCGCCTTCGCTAACGGGATACGCTGGCGGAGCACCAGTGAAGGGTGATAGATGAGAATGAAAACAGGCCAATTAGCCCATCATGATGAATTCATCAGGAATTAACCATGATAGTTTCTAGGGAGAACCGCGAGGAGGTCGACCTGGTTGGGTATATTGCTAGCAATAGGATTCTCAGTCTCCAGTACTTGTCGAATTAATCATGGTGGGCCAACTGACCTGCATTCATTCTCACCTATCACTGTCACTGGTGACTCGTCGGTGTATACCGATAGCGCGGGCGGGGTTACCATTCCATTTTCACCCATTAAAAAAATATATATATATATATATATATATATATAAATATATATATATATATATAATAGGCAGTATGTGCATGGTGCCGGAGATGTGCTGTTCTCCACCATTAAATAGTATAAAAAATAATTATAAAACAAATATAATTAAAAATAAATAGAAAAATTGTTTTTGACTTTGGGCAGGCGGGGTTTCTATTCCATTATCACCCATTAAAAAAAATCGTACTATAGCTTTAATATGCATAATATATTTAATATGGTATTTACCCGAAGGAGACTTTGTACAAAAGTCGATTGCTTGGGTACCTCTGTTCCATTCGTGTTGCAACCGTAAAGCAGTCGTGTTTGCATGACTGTGTTTCGGTTTGAAAAGTGGTGAATTTACAGAGTACAGAGGAATAACATTTGAGTCCTCAGGAATGGCAACGTATGGGGGGTATCTATATACTCTGTTATGTCCATGGTACTGCTCTTGTCTATAGGCGACGGTTACCACTTTCCATCAAGTGGACCGTCAGCTTGTTTGCTATTCTAAGTTGTATAAAAGATAAACTGTTACAGACGTTACAATATTAACTTACAAATCATGATATCTTAATATTTGTAAACTTTTCCTCTTACTGTTATAAGGGGAGAGGAGATCTGTGCGTGGGTGGGGCCACGAGTTATTTGCCTTTCTCACGAGCCGGCCGCCGCCATTTGCCATTATTAACACATTGGAAGCGTCTGATTCTCAGTTATCTATCGACACATTCTGTCTGAGCTTTCAATGTACTTAACAAATGTACGCAGAGGCATTTTATCGCCGATTACTGTCCAGTTAAACATAGAAAGCTAAGCTAAGCTGTTCGAATGCAATAAACCTATACGACATCATAACCTTCAAGAAAAGAGTTAATTATCTCGCTTTTTACGTATATGTTATAATTTGTGTGCTGTAAGTAATGCAAATAAATTACCTATCTGTCTGTCTATCTGTTTATTTGTCTATCTGCCTATCTGTCTATCTATCTATCTATCTGTCTATCCGTCAATCCGTCTATCTGTCTATCTATGTATCTATCTATCTGTCTATCTGTCTATCTGTCTATCTGTCTATCTGTCTATCCGTCAATCCGTCTATCTGTCTATATGTCTATCCGTCTTTCTGTCTATCCGTCTATCTGTCTATCCGTCTATCCGTCTATCCGTCTATCTGTCTATCTGTCTATCTGTCTGTCTATCCATCTATCTATCTGTCTATCTATACATCTATCTGTCTATCTATCTGTCTATCTATCTATCTGTCTATCTATCTGTCTATATATCTATCTATCTGTCTATCTATCTATATATCTATCTGTCTGTCTATCCATCCATCTATCTGTCTATCTATACATCTGTCTGTCTATCTATCTGTCTATCTATCAATCTATCTGTCTATCTGTCTATATATCTATATATCTGTCTGTCTATCTGTCTATCTATCTATATATCTATCTGTCTGTCTTTCTATCTATCTATATATCTGTCTATCTATACATCTATCTGTCTATCTATCTATCTGTCTATCTGTTATCTATCTTTCTATATATCTATCTATCTGTCTATCTATCTGTCTATCCGTCTATCTGTCTATCTATCTGTCTATCCGTCTATCTGTCTATCTATCTATCTATCTGTCTATCCGTCTACCCGTCTATCCGTCTATCCGTCTATCCGTCTATCCGTCTATCCGTCTATCCGTCTATCCGTCTATCCGACTATCCGACTATCCGACTATCCGTCTATCCGTCTATTCGTCTATCCGTCTATCCGTCTATCTGTCTATCTAGCTCTCTATCCATCTATCTGTCAATCTATCTATCTATAATATTGATATATCATATTGATGATCATCATATCTGCCGTTAAATGTTCACTGCTGAACATAGCAGTAAGAAGTCTTGTCAGTATTTTCTATGCTTATAAGCGAATTGTCAACTGCAGTTAGGCTTTCGTGATGTTTTAATCCTCTTAAAACAGCAACAAGGGATAGGTAGCAGCGTAAGGACGCTGACCCTCGTCCAGTAAATTCCCATTGTC